ACTGTTTGGATAATACATTATTCCTTATGGATATATCTTGTTTAGTATGTTGTTTGATGCTCTTTGATTATTTTTTATGATGCCAAAGGGGGAGAGAAAGGGAAAGAAAAGAACTCTATGATATGAAATTTTAAAAAGTTAATTTGGGGAAAGAAAAGGAAAGGAAAGGACTATGAAATTTTATTTTATCCCCAAATATTTCTAGAAAGAAAAGAAAAGTATTTTTGTCCACAAATATTGTTAATATTGTTTTTTTTTGTCCCCAAATATTGTTAATATTGTTTGTCCCCAAAATATAGCATTGTTTCTAAAAAGACAAATACTAAGGGGGAGACTAAAAGGGGAGACTAAAGGGGAAGTGATCGATATATGTATACTTGAAATTATTTTTTCTTTCTTCCCTTAAAGATGGTTGTCATCATCAAAAAGGGGGAGATTGTAGATGCATATACTTGTAGATATATTATATGCAGGTTTTGATGATGCCAATGGAAAGAAAATGAGATTACAAGATTGACAAAAGGAATTGGCAAAAGAAAGAGAAAGAGCAAGGAGCAAGGTCAATGCAAGATCAAGACTACAAGTGATGCTAGATAAGTATTAGTCTAGTTAGATAAAGCGTTAAAAGAATTCTAGAGTTTGCAAGTAATTTGGCCTTTAAAATAAAGTTTATGCAAAAATGTTTTATGAACCAAATTAAGTTCAAAATAAATATTTTGAACTGGAAATCGATTACTAGTTGGATTGTAATCGATTACCAGCGAGCATTTAATTTCAGAAACGAAATTTTGGTTCTGGTAATCGATTACCAGAGAGCAAAAAGTTCAAAATTCAAATTTAAAGACACAACGGTTCAAAAGTTGAAGTGTGTAATCGATTACCAGCGAGCATTTAATTTCAGAAACGAAATTTTGGTTCTGGTAATCGATTACCAGAGAGCAAAAAGTTCAAAATTCAAATTTAAAGACACAACGGTTCAAAAGTTGAAGTGTGTAATCAATTACAACATATTGATAATCGATTACCAGGAAGATTTTTCTGAAAATTATGAAGAGACACAATTCCTTATCAAAAGATACAAAGCTTCAATTGTTCTAATATAAATATATGTTTTCATTTCGAAAAATCAGAAGATTACAATGTGAAATAACAAAAAGTGAGAAATCTCTTTAAGAATCATTTTGGCCAAATACTTGCAAATTATTAAGGATTCTTATAGGAACTTCAAGTTGTATCATCTACTCTAAAAGAGAGTTCATCAGTGTACAAACAATTATTCTTATATTGTGTGGTTAAAGAGAGGGTGCCTCTCGTAGATTGTGGGTGAAACTTAACACAAGGGATAGGGTCCCAAAGTGTGTGAGTGTTCATCTTTTGTAAAGGATTTTACAAATAGAGGAAATCTCAAGTGGGTGACTTGAGGACTGGACGTAGGCAAGGGTTGGCCGAACCAGTATATATTGAGTTTGCATTTCTTCTTCCCTTAACTTTTACTTATTTGTTGTGATTGCTAATTTATTATATATTGAGAAATTAGGAGTTTGCATTTATATTTCATCATAAAAGAATTGTTGTAAGTATAGTAAAAGATAAAAGAAGTAAGTGAACGAAAAAGAGATAATTTGGATTAACTTAATTCACCCCCCTCTTAAGTTACTTGAGGCCGCTTGTCTAACATAATTTATATGATTTGTCCCTTTGTCCAAATATCTATTTGAACACAAGGGCATGGAATGTGTTAACCTTGTATAGTTCAATCTATGTTTTCTTGATGCCCAAGTAGACTGTACAAAAAATAAACATCTCATGTTTATCCTCCTGAGCATGGCCATGCATTTTTTAGTCTCACTTTATCAAGAGGCCTACATATATAACTCCTGTTACATAGGAGAGACAAATCCCATCTAGGTCACTTACATCCCACCACATAATTTATTATATGTCCAAATACCAACTTTATGATCACCTTGTTACAGGCAAGTTTGATGATATCTAAAACATATAATTCCTTATGTAGGAATCATAGTGATTTCAGGTCAAAGGACTTCATATAACATTTATCAATTTAAGAAACGTTCATGACACTTATGTAACAATCCATGCAACGTTCTTAAGGTGGGTCTGTCCAATACACTATTACTCTTAATAAGTACTTATGTGAGCACATGATATCTCATATCCATGATCCGTGAGATGTGATCATCAATGAATTCACGTACTAGTCTAAATGCATCTTTGTCCTAAGATGATACTTGACCAAGGACTATTTTAAGAATAGTTCTTCATAAGATCTCACGATCAAGTCATCTACTTGATTTCTTATGAAGTTTGAGCTTACTATTCTAAGGACATGAATTACCTTTATAAAATACTATGATACATGTGATGGGTGTTTCAAAAACATATAAGTCTCTAGTGTATATAGTAACATAAACCTCTCACTTCTATGCATCCAGACCTAGAAATTCAAAAAGTGGTAGAGATTGTTGCTGCCATTGATAAAGAAGAGGAAAGAAAAAGAAGAGAACAAGAAGATAATGGTAGAGCACTTGCTGAAGCTGCTCAGAAAGCTATGTCGGAGGATGAAGAATATGAAAGAGGTGCTTCCCTACAGGGAAGGAAGATCAAAAGTCAAGGTCTTCAATAGTAGGGAACATATCACACACAACCAGCAAGCGTATTCACGTCAACATTTTAGCAAGCGAAGGACCATCGGAGTGAGCCGATTCAATGTCGTAAGGGCGTCTGTGTAACACATATCAAAACGTCTGTTGCCAAGCCTAATATCTGATATCTGTCCTGTGTTAGCTGCCTGCCTGCCAACTTCTTTGAGTGACTAGCTACCCTGCGAACCTACTACCCCCCCTCCCCGCGCGCAGACGCTTTCTTGCTTCCGAACCCCCCATTCGTGAAGCCTGCTCTTTGCTTGGGCCTATCCTGTCTTTCATTCGTGTAAACTCTCTGCCCTCTTCCACTGAGACAAAGTCATTCTAACGAATGCTGAGCAGTTTCTCCACTTCGAAAGCTCAGTCTATTTTTATTTCTGGAGAGATTCCATTATGAACATTTCCTCCTTTCCCTGTAGTACGCTAGCCTGTAGAGAACTTCAGTAGGACCGTGGCATCAATGCACTTTTTTTTTCGTCGATACTTATTTACATAAACTAGATGTTAAGGCAATGTCAATTGTATGATGAGATACCGTAGTTGGGTCCTGTTAGCACGAAAGATAGATATGAAATGCCTCTTTTAGAGTTAGAGTATCTTGAAGTGCTGGGCTCAATAGTGTCCTTCCGTGAGATGAGCTGGGCAAGGATAGGTGAGATCTTGTATAAGGAAGAAGCGGAAGAGCTACTTGAAAGAAAGGTTGGAAGAACTACTCCCTTAGGATGTCGTAGGTCCTATAAGGTGGATTCTTCTGCTCTCTTGCCTTTCCTCGCCCTATCGGTCGAGATGTGCCACCTCAACCTCAACTCTCTACACTCTTTCTTCTCTTTCTGGTATCTAGCAAAATTGCAGCTGGATTAAAAAGTGCTTTTTATTGCTAAACTGTACTTTAGTCTTTCCTTTTGAATCCCGCTCCTTACTATACTCTGGCTACAGAGCAGAGCCCTCTAAATGCCATCATGAAGCTTAAGACATCTCATTGGAAGAAAGTGGAATGCCTCTAATGAGCTCTTTCCGGCAGCTAGTCTCAGGTATTCTATCCTCCCATCCATCCTTCCGACAACGCATTCAATAGCATAGCCAATGGCCCACCCTTTCTTTGAACCTTGCCCTTACTTGAATTAGGAATCTCAACTCGATCTTAGCGGATCTAACTTGAACTCCTTCTGTCTTAGCCTACCATCTTTATCTTCTATCCCCTGGAGCTCTCGTTTTGAGAGGATAAGTAGCTGACCTCTTTCTAGTAATCCCCTTAGTCTCCAATCTAAGAGAAAAGTAGCTCCTGGCTTCATGTCTTGCTGATTGATTTACTTCTTTTCTCAAGTTTAGTTTCTCTTTCAGTTGGTGATTGAGGATTGGCATAGTTCCCGTCTCCCCGGTCAAAGAAAAAGAAGGGGAATTCCTTCAAGGCAGCAGGAACGAATGGATAAAAAAACATGATTGTTCGCCGAACACAAGACCTGGTTATACGGGAGAAAAACTAGTATCAATAAGGAAATTTCCCTATTAAGGAGGCAGATCCATTTTGGATGCTTTAGATATAGCAACCTGGGGATTAGGATAAGTAAGGGAATTAGCAATCGTTCTTGTTGGTCTGTCTGCTTTCGGCTTTGCAATTCTTTAAAATAAATAAAGAAGAGAAGAGAATCTTGTTGAGAGTAACTGCCCAATGGGAAAGAGAAAGGTGACTTCCGCCTCCAAGGATAATCTAGAGTCGAGAAGCGACTAAAATCTCGTATATAGAGAGAGTCAAGCCGTTCCAATCTGCTATAGCAAGTCCTTCTTCACTAGAAGGATGGAACCCTGATTGGTATGCCAACATTTTCTCTGGGTAGGTTGACCACATTGGAGGAAACTGGTTACCGGGCTTTTACCATGTCTCCCGAGTGATGATCTCCTCAGTACATATGGCGTAAGATGTGATTCTACATCTCTAGTTTTGTGCCGCCCGAGGAACACTCTTTTTTTTCTTTTGAAAAACGAACTTATTGAACCGGAATTCAAAGGAGTAGAACTAACTGCTGGTGGAGCAATTTCTTTCTCTGATGGGGGCTCGCTTCAAAAAGCGGAGCTTGCTGTCTACTAAACGAGCCTTCACTGCCCGCCCGGCCCCTATCTTTAATCTTAAGTAAAGTGAAGTCAAATCAATGAAGTGAACAGCCCAACCTCTTTGTTTGAAGCTTTGCTTCCCCTAATTCCAAAAAATAAGAAATAGACTTGCTACTACTAACTATAGTTATAGTATAGGAAAAAGCTTCTCTTTGATAGAGGTCATAGGGGGGTTCAGAAAGAATCTGATCGTAGATAGAGACTCAAACCTATGCGGGGGTAGGGGCGGATGTAGCCAAGTGGATCAAGGCAGAGGATTGTGAATCCACCACACGCGGGTTCAATCCCCGTCGTTCGCCCATCAATAAATGGACCATTTGTTATGGAGACACAAGACAAACCTAGAAAGCATTTTTTCTTCAAGTCATCTTGAGGCTTTCAAACGTATCCAAGCAATTGCGATTGAAACATAGAAACCATAGATTCGTGTCGCCTACTTGCTGAAAGCACAAATGGAATGGTTGATCATTCATAGTATGAAGTTTTTAAGACCTCACTAATCAGCCTTAGACTTTTTTTTAGTTCATAATGAATGAAATGAACCCCCGGATGAAAAGACATTCTCCCATCTCCAATCCCGGATGAAATGAACCATGGGGAGCCCCGACTAGTTTACCGGGCAAATTTGGTTGTCGTGACGATACCTTTCTTAGTGGAAGATCGGAAAAGACTTCTCTTCATCACGAGACTGATTGGATCCACCGTAGACACCCGAGAGACCTCCACAAGGGAGGCTAAAAGAGTCAGAGGACAACAAGCAAAGAGTTACGCTTTCTTTTCTCTTCTCTTGAACTTGAACCTGGTTGGTATTCCCGCAAAAAAACGAATTGAACTGGGTCTGGCTGAGCCCTTCTATCCATCCATACAAAGAACCGATTCTTGTGCAAAGCGGTGTCGACTCTTTAACGACATCGTCCGCAAATCGAGATCTATTGGAGAGAGTCATCGAATCGTCCTTGATTCCTCGATTTCATTTCGCTAATCGTTTGGTAAAGTCTAGGAAAAGGTCAGCCCGTCATAAAGTTCCTTGTCAGGGCCCCAAGCCAGCCTTCTCTTCTCTTGGATATCCAAAAAGGCAACATTAAAGCGGTTTAATGAGAGGTTGCTTTCCTTGGTCTTATAGTTCGTGACCTATAGCCGGGGGCGGAGTTTGCTTGCTCTTCACTTAGGGGCTGCTCCTAAACTCTTCTTCTTTCCTTGGGTGGAAATGAGAACCTAGTGAAAGTGCCTCATAAGGGCGATTATCTCTATATAACGAACGAAAAAATGTTAGGAAGTTATATAAAGGACGAGACTCAGAAGGACAAAGCTAGACTTCCCAAGGACGAGTTGACTTGCCTTACCTTATAGGGGGTAGGGAAGACCCCGAAAAAAAAGATCTGTCGAAGACTGTCAAACTAGACTTTCAATCTGCGTCAAAGAAGTCATAAAGAGGTCCGTAAGCTCCCTTCGGAAAGGAAAAGAATCTTATCCAATCGGCCGCTCATTCTCACATTTGACTAATTGGTTAAAATGTCCCTTCCCTTAAGGCTTAGGACAATGCATCTTTCAGGCTTTGAATCGCTTTCATCGGTAAAATAAAATGACATCCATATCCATGGACACCAAAGGCTTCCTAGCCGGAGAAAGTACAGTTAAGTCTACAGAGCCCTGATAAGTTCTATCGAAGCCGATCTTGCTAATCGCGAACCCCTCGTCTTTACTAAGAAAGAAGATAAAAAGGGCTTTTTCTCGTCACTTCCGGCACTGCTAAAGCCCTTCCCGAGCATTTCTGCGAGGTGCTGGAAGTAAAAGGAAAAGGCCCTCTAAAGCATATAGTGTTAGGAATATGCACTAGAGACTTATATATTTTTGAACATCCATCACTTGTTTCATGTTATTTTATAAAGGAAAACTTATTGTTTTAGAATATAATTATTGTCCTTAGAATAGTAAGCTTAAACTTCATAAGAAATCAAGTAGATGACTTGATCGTGAGATCTTATGAAGAACTATTCTTAAATAGTCCCTAGTCAAGTATCATCTTAGGACAAAGATGCATTTAGACTAGTATGTGAGTTCATTGATGATCACATCTCACAGATCATGGATATGAGATATCATGTTCTCACATAGGTACACATTAAGAGTAATGGTGTACTAGACAGACTCACCTTAAGAAAGTTGCATGGATTGTTACATAAGTGTCATGAACGTTTCTTAAATTGATAAATGTTATATATAAAGTCCTTTGACCTGAAATCACTACGATTCCTACATAAGGAATTATGTGTTTTGAATATCATCAAACGTTACCTGTAACAGGGTGATCATAAAGTTTGTATTTGGACATATAATAAATTATGTGGAGGAATGTGAGTGCCCTAGATGAGATTTGTCCCTCCTATGTAACATGAGTTATATCTGTAGGCCTCTTGATAAAGCGAGACTGCAAAATGCATGGCCATGCTTAGGAGGATAAATATGAGATATTTATTTTCTGTACAGTCTACTTGGGGATCAAGAAAATATAAATTGAACTATACAAGGTTGACACAATCCATGCCCTTGTGTTCAATTAGATATTTGGACAAAGGGACAAATCATATAAATTATTATCATAAAATAGGATTTATCAAAGTTATTGATAATCTCAATATTTGGATAGTGATGTGTTGCTAGATACCGCTCACTATTTATGATATTAAATATAAAAGGGTTTTATTTTAATATTATAACCAAATATTAAAATCCTATTGGGTCACACGCATACAACAAGCCACTAGGAAAGGATAATAATTCTAATTTAATTTAATTAGAATTATAACATAATGGGCCAGACCCATAAGTGTGAGGGTTAAGCGAGTGAGGGGGTAAAACCCTAGCCACCACTCTATAAATAGAGCATAAGATGCACTACCCCAGACACACATGAGCAATCGCTTCTTACTTTCTAAGGCTACTAGCAGAGCTGAGGAGGGTTTCCTAGTTCGGGTATTGCGTGGATACCAATAGAGACGTGGCTACTCTTTCCTCGTTTGTAATCCTAATAAGGTACGACCTTTCGTTTTAATACCTTTTATGCCTTGATTCATGTTTTCGCAAAACGATTATAACAAGGGAAGGAATCCATTTATTTCCGCTGCACCCTGACCACATGCTTGATTCCCTTCAATTGGTATCAGAGCTTTGGTTTGCGAGAAACACGTTTTAGGCTTTTAATCTTGTGAAGATTATGATTTTTTATCGTTTTTCTCCTAAAAAATGTAGCGCTGATATCTGGGGTGCAACCTGCGCTGCAGCGCAGGATGAAGCGCAGATCTGCGCTGCAGTCTAGGCTGCAGCGTAGACTGAAGCGTAGTTTACGTATTTTCGATTCTGATACTTGCGTTTCACCTACACTGTAACACGGGTGGAGTGCAGGTAAAGCGCAAGCGAAGCGCAGCTTTCAGAATCAGTTTATTTTGGTTCCCTTTATTGATTGTTTCATGTGCGATGTATATATGTTTATATGTTATAATGTTGGAGGGTCCCATGGAACATGAAAGAGTTCATGTCTTGGGCGTCAAAGGGTTCAATTGTTGAAACCTTGTCTCGACTCAAATATTGGTTGCGATAAAGATGCCACTTATCAATTTGCTGACAATAGCGTATTCAAATGATACGAGGGACTTACTCGTTTATCGGTTCGTAAAATATTCGTTTGATGCGAGACACTTATTGATGATTGGTTAAATATTTATCAAATCAAATTTTGTTTCGATACACTGCATAGCGTGTTATTTTGTTTGCGCGTAATCAAACCTCGCTTAATAATATATATCTTATTATATCACTCGTTTTACAATCATTGGATGTTGAGTTTGCATGATGATTGGTTATGGCCTTAGTTGTTTTAATTTAAATACGACCTGCGTGTCGTGCCTTACCTCCTATATTCCTTTTGTAATTCTTTTCTCATCTCTATCCCCTCGTATGTTGAACAAGGTTTCTTCTTGTTGTGTAATGTAACTGGGAGGACATGGAGCATGGATTCAGTGGGAGATTTGGAGAGCTCAAGATTATATACAAGATTATATAGTTGATGTAATTTTGTATTTGTTTTTAGGAGGCCATAACCATATGATGTATTTGTATGAGATGCATGCTTGTATGTTAAATGGTTTAACAACGAATAAAATTAAAGCGATCAAATCCCTCAATACTTGTGTGCCTTCCAATGGATTACACTCGTCAAGACTAGAATCGATTAAGTGTGGGTCTGCCAAAGCAGGGTACATTTATCTATTCTAGTGAGACACAATAGGATAAAGTAATATCCGATTGTCAACCGTTGGTTTTTGATTGGGTTTATTCAATAGGATTGAAAAACCCAAAGGCACTAATATTAAGTCATGTTTTGCCTTCCAATGTATGGCACTCGTCTAGACTCGAATCAATTAAATGTGTGTCTGCCAAAGCAGGGTACATTTATCTATTTTAGTGAGGCGCGATAGGATAAAAGTAATATCCGACTGTCATGTCATTGTGTTTTGACTTAACTAGGAGTATTCAATACGATTGAAAAACCTAGAGGCATTAAGTTAGGCATTAATTCATAAGATGAATTAGAATAAGAGTTATTCACCTAACTATCCAAGAGTTGGGTGAGATGCAATTGGAAGTGTGTTCCTACCTAAATAACCTTTTCTTAAGCAATCAGCTAAAGCTGACTTAAAATTAGGTGAAATATGGATCTTGGCCCACTGGAAAAATCGAGTGATGGGATTTTTTGATTCTTTATATTGATGGTACTTGTTTTGAATCAAAATAGTGGGAGGCATATTTATTTAAAGACCTTATTAAATATGTTTGTTATATGATACTTACGTGCATAATTACCCTGGCAACGAACACAACAATTAACTTTTATTGCGATCTGTCCTTGAAAAGGACAAACTGTCTGAAATTAATTTTCTATACTGGTATAAGACCTAAGGATTGTCCTTAGGAAAGGTTGTATGTCCTGGAAGAGCCTGTTCCTGAAACACCCGCTACAAATGCTTCGAAAGCTGACAATGATGCTTTTAGAAAGCATCTGGATGATGCTCTCGATGTAGGTTGCCTTATGCTTGCTACCATGAATGCTGAAAACAACATGAGAACATGGAGGCATACAATATGATTGTACACTTAAAGAGACTTTATCAAGGACAAGCTAGGCTTGAACGATTTGAAGTCTCAGAAGCACTTTATCAATGTTGACTGGCAGAGGGAACCCCTGTTGGTGCTCATGTACTCAAAACAATTGGGTACATTGAAAACCTAGAAAGGCTTGGAT